TAGAAGAGAAAGGCCTCAGAAATGAGAAACAGAGACCAAAGTGTTTTTGGGAGATGATTTCATATGAAGGCGTACACTGAAAGCACAGGTTGAGCTTCCCACTGGTGCCTCGTTTCTGAAGTTCTACTCGGTGGGTAAAGTTTGGCATGCTATTTGGAACGAAGAAGAGAAATGGGTTAGTGCATGCTCTCGCACGCGTTTAATAGGCGTTCCCTCTTGGGAGCAGGTACTGGGTTGTGCATGAGGACTTTTATTTTTTTTTTTTAAAAGCAGAGAGGGTGGGTATTCAAAAAAAATGTGAAAATCCTCCACTATACCTTTAATTAGAGCTGTTCCCAGCAAGAAAGGTGGAATCACTGATGAGGTTTGGGGGGAATTTACATTTTAGCATTGAACCGGGTCGGTTTAGGTAGCTTTTATTTCCCATTCAAAATAAAATGATCATTTTTAAAACTTGTTTGCTATGTTCTTTCATTTTGCTATTATATTTGGTAGGGCGGGGCATTTAATTGCATTTGTAGTACAATTGCAATTTAATAAAACCCAGTTTTAAAGTTGCTAAGGTACTGAATTTTAGTCAGATTACATTTAATAAGATTAAGACACAAAACTTCTCACTCCAACCTTTTAGGTGGCCGGTATACTTTTACAGTTTGTTTGCCGCCACAAAGATGCATCATGACAAAACTGAAACCCGAGAGTGAAACATCTACATGCTTGTGCTTAGTGCAAAGGCAAATCGCAGTATTGGTGAAAAATAATTGCAATTAAGATTTTTGGCAAAATGGTTTAGCTCTAATGTTTGCTATTAAATTCTGCTGTCGAATCAAAATATAAATTAGTGTGAGGGAATTACAGCAGAGTCGACGACACAGTTCAAACCAATGTGAGCTATCACTACTGTACATGCTCATCCAGGAGGAGGAAATCCAGAAAAGTCAATGACTCGATACAATCAGCTGGGCTTCCTTAGATAGAACAACTTGGAACCCGACTGTCTGTAGATCAAATGAATTAGTGCTTTATCAATAAACTGAATTAAATGAAAATCAAGCGACAAATAAGCAAATATCTTTTCAAACATTTTTTTTCTCTGTTAGCAAGAAAAGTACGGTGGCCTAGAGGTGCAAACATCCTCCAAACACATAAAGTGCTGCAGTTGACGAATACTAATCTTTACGGAGGCCCTGAAGTGCAAACTGCAACTACAAATCTAA